TGAGGACTACGCTTGCGGCTCTTGGGTTCGCGCCTTCTACTGCTGACCCATCGCTGTTTCTGCGCACCGACACTTCACTGCCGCCGTTCTACATCCTCGTGTACGTCGACGACTTGGTTTTTGCCACTGCTGACACTGAGGCTCTCGCCCACGTGAAGTCGGAGCTGCAGAAGAGACACACGTGCACAGACTTGGGTGAGCTGCGCAGCTACCTTGGCTTGCAGATCACCCGGGACAGAGCACGGCGCACCATCACCTTGACTCAGTCACACATGGTGCAGCAGGTCCTTCAGCGCTTCGGCTTCACCTGGTCTTCAGCACAGGCCACTCCTCTGGCTACAGGTCACACGCTCTCAGCTCCACCTTCGGACGAGTCCGTAGAGCCGAGTGGTCCTTACCCAGAGCTAGTCGGCTGCCTCATGTACCTGATGACTTGCACTCGACCTGACCTCGCGTACCCTCTTGGTCTTCTGGCTCGCTACGTGGCTCCTGGTCGGCACCGACCTGAGCACATGGCTGCTGCTAAGAGGGTACTGCGCTACTTGTGCAGCACATCAGGCATGGGGCTAGTGCTTGGAGGGACGAGCCCAGTTGTCCTCACTGGGCACTCAGACGCTTCTTGGGTTGACGACCAGGCTACTCAGCGGTCGTCACAGGGTTACACCTTCAGCCTTGGTTCTGGTTCTGTCTCGTGGCGGTCTACACGCTCGTCTTCAGTTCTCAGCTCCAGTTGTGAGGCTGAGATCTACGCCACAGCCATGGCCGCCCAGGAGCTACGCTGGCTCACCTACCTGCTGACTGACTTGGGAGAGCAGCCTCGTTCTCCTCCAGTGCTGTACGTCGACAACAAGGCCGCCATTGCCTTGTGTGAGGAGCACAGACTGGAGCACAGAACGAAGCACATTGCTCTGCGTTACTTCCTGGCTCGAGAGTTGCAGCAGCGAGGCCAGCTTCGTCTTCGTCACGTGGCCACTCGGGCCAACACTGCTGATATATTCACCAAGGCACTTCCGTCTGGTGATCATCAGCGCTTTTGTACCCTGTTAGGCCTTGTGCCTACGTTTCCACACTTGCTGTAGTCTCTGCTTGTACTGTGATCTATATATATACATGCATGCCTGCTCTTGCTAGGTAGTCATCACTGTACTGTTATTGTTGCATATATATCTCTGCATGTGGACTGGCCTTGTGGCCCTTTGCTTGTGCTCAGAATGTGTGGTGACGTTGAGATCCACCCTGAGCTTGCTTTGCTTCTCTTGACTGGTCGTTTGACCCCTTGTTCTCCCCCACTTTGCCTATGGGGGTGTGTCAAACATATATGCTGCATATTGTCTAGGCTGTAGTGGGGTAGCCCATATGGGGTACAGCCCAATTAGGGTTTACTACTTGTACTCCTGCATGTTGCTAGTTCATCCATTCCTGCTGCTAGATTCTGACATTTACCTCACACAATATTTCGATTGATGAAGCTAAGATGTAACTAATGGCAAAAAAAATGATTTTGCTGGAATACCTTTTACACTGTTTCTTGTTGTGCTTGTCGCGAAAAGAATTTAAGCTGTTTCTGGGTGTATTCTACAATCTGAATGTGCCGAGGAAGGCGATTATGTTCACATTGGTGGATAGTCCCCTTTGGTTATCTTCGCACATCTTCATTGCGTTTTCGACGAATGAAATGTCCCTTCGTTGCTGATGTGGCGAACGGGATCGAAAAGATTCCCATCAAAATTCTTGTCGCGCCCCGGATTCTGTAGATGAGTGGCTTTCCTGGGGGCGCGCCGCACACCATCGCACCATTACAGAATAGTCGCGTCATCTGCTGTGATTCGGGCCTGTCAAATGCGACAAAGAGAACAGCTGCCCAATCCCAGCAACTCCCAAACCAAGCCTCTCGATTGAAACGAGCGCCCTCTCGTTTCAATCCCTCCGCCTTCTCCCCGTCCCGTGCCTTACAGGCAACCAAACCACTTCGCCCAACCACCTCACCTTCAAAGCGCTTGGTGATTGTCCTCTGATTCATTCTGTCTTCCTTCCTCGACACTCACCCAGCCTCTCATCCCAATGCACCCTAGTTGCTCCTTCAGGGGACTTCCAGTTTGTGGTAGCTTCATCTTACCGCCTGAACACTTCGTCGCCTGACGCGGTTAATGCCGACTGCCTGTCGCAGAACACCTGACGTTCGTTCGTTCTGTCACGTTTCCAGTAATTATGGCTGTTCTATTGTTACGCAGTTTGTGGGAGAGACGATGTTCGTGTAGATCGTCGCGTTCTCTGTATTTCTGGCTGCTCTTATCTTACGATGTATGTCGGAGAGCTTCTCACGTTCGTGTGTTCCTTTCCTGTATTCTCTACTGTTCTAATCTCGCTAATCGGTTGATTCCTGTGACAAGTGTTAACGTTTGTAAGCTTGTTGTAATGTTTGCAGGTAGTGCATGCATCTGGCGTTAATTATCTAACTGTGATGGGAGTACACAAAGCATCCGTTCGCCACGTAAGCATCCGTTGGCCGATTCAAGGCCATAAACCCGCCATTTGCGTGGCGATTATGGCTATAAATTGCCATTTTTAAGAGCAACTTTTTTGAGATGGAGAAAACGGCGACGCGATACTAAGGTGTACGAGGCGTAACGGCGACGCGGCAGCTGCAGGCGAGAGTGAGTGGTTGAAGGGTGTATGGCGCGCGGTCGGAAGAGCGGGAATGGATGCGCAAAGGTGTGGCGGAATGGCGGCGACTGGCGTGGGGAATGCCGCCATTCTGCGGACTTACTGCACGCACCATCGCCCACGCTTGTGCCTTCAAATCGACTCAGAAGCAAGCAAGTTGACTCGAAGAGAACGATCGACTAAGAGACTCAAACGCATGCACTGTTTCCTACGCTGCAAAGCCCCAAGCTTCGACCTTATCAAACGAGTAGTTTCGCATGATCGTCAAGCGCGACGGCGTGGCTGATTCACCTCAAGAGAGACCACGCAGAGATACGAAGATTGCTAGAGGTGAGGGGAGACGGTTTGTGGTTGGGAGTGGTGAGTGAAAGGGGTTAGTGAGAGAAGATCCCAAGGTGTGGAGGGATGCTGCAGGGTTAATAATTTGCAGAGCGTGTAAGATGGATGATAACCGAATAGTCAACGAGTGGTTACCACGCACATTGCAATTCTCGCGCAAGGGCGACGTCAGGTTGCACATTTCTCAACCTGACGTCGCCCCAACAGCTTCAGATTGGTGGGAATCCAGGCTACAGTACAAGGCGATGTGGATGTGGCACTTTGATGGAAATTCTTCCAAGGAAAGTTTCTCGCTATAGAGAGCCTTCTGCCTGTCTGTTTACGAATATGGATACATATTGCTAACCAGCCAACGACCATTGCTCCCTATTACTGTAGCACGCGAGAATCTGAACAAGTCGCCGTGGTCGTCACGTTGCAAGGCAGCTTCATTCAGCGTCGCGGAGTTTCTGTACGAAGGTTCCTAAGCACTTGTGGTGACGTCAAAGGTCAGAGATTGGCGGCAGAACTCCCAAAAGTTCGTCGCACAGTCTCGTTCGCTCGTCGCCTTGTCAGTCACACCATGCTCTGTCTGCCCAATGGTTTTTGGGTCGCTGTCGCTGGTTGGTCAGCAGCCAGAGTCCTGGTTTCGTATGGTGATGTGGAGATTACCCCATCCGCACGGTACGCAGCACCTGGATGTTATGCTGGGTGATGATATGGTTGTTTTTGGCAAACTGGGCTCGCCGCAAACCAGTTCAGGGGGACTTCGGGGTCTGTTTGTGGGCAAGCCTTGGTAAATTCGATTGCTCAACCTGAAACAACTAGCAGAAACACGCATGCGGTTCTGGGGTGTTTTGGGGGATGGTTGGTGTGGTTTTCCATCTCGGGAAACACATTCGCACTTTTTGAGACATTCCGCCCTTTCCTCGGGCACGGCTCGAAAAATCCATCATCTGCAAATTTCCAATCTGTGGGGGTGGGGACCACCGCTGACACTGTCGTACACAAAACAGATCCTCTCGAGGGCAAGGGCAATGGTGGTCGCTCGATGGTCGCCCACCACCTGGTGCACTAACCCGCTCGGCACAGCCCCTTAGTCCTGCCAGCGTGTCACTGCTGAGTGATAAGATTTTGGCACGGAACAGAGCGATGCTTGTCGCTCGGGTCGCTCATTTGTCGTCAGCCCAGTCCCATCCCATTCCAGGCAGCTTCCCGCGACTTGGTGCAGTTTTGTGGGGATGGGGAGGCGACGTTTGTGCTTGTGACGTCAACAGCGACACTTTCCGAGCCTCCTCTTTCCCTCGTTTTCGTCCAGAATGACGTACCCACTGAACATCACCGTCAGGTAACGCGCTTCGAATCTGTGGTTTGTGGGCAGTTGCAAGGAGCTTCGGGAAAATCGAAACTCATTCTTCGCTTCCTAGAATTGCAATCAAGAACTTTCAGTCTCAGAGGAGGGAATGAAGTCTGGAGAATGATGGCTGTGAACTACGGACTAATTCTTAAGCAGCGGAAATATGCTGGTCCTGGTTTTTAAGAGTCTTGAAAATGAGGGAAACAAAACCCATGCAATGTGCTTATCCTGGAAACTTTTTTGACAGTCAACAACTGGTGGTGACCACCACAACCCACAAGGTTGCTGCAATTTGCCGCTCACCTGTACAGTTCTGGCTTTCGGACTCGTGTGCTGTTCTGCTCCATTCCCCGCTTCAGTTAGGGTTTCTCACAGAACCTCCTCACAGACCACGGACAGGAAAACGCCGCGAGCTCCAGCGGCTCAAAATAACCCGCGGAGTACAGCCGCTCAGGGAGCCGCACGGCCATGCGGTTCTGGTGTTCAGGGTTCCAACCCAAGTGACGAACCGCGGCCACTCGGTTCTGGTGTTCAGGGTTCCAACCCAGATGACGAACCAGCGTGATGTAGGTTCTCTCTCATCCAGAACCACCTCCGTTTTTTGGCAAGAGCTTTATCATTCACTGGATTAGCACTTTACAGCAGCCAATCTCTGCTGCCTATGAAGATCCGCGTCTACTTCAGTCAATCACGAAGATCCATCTGCTGGTCAACCCTGGAGACCCGCCACCACCACCATTCGCCCCCAACACCTACCTTCAACCGCTTCCATCCACACTTCGCCCCCCGCCCTGTCTACCTCAAGATCTCCAGAGGTACGTTTGCTTTGAATGCTTTTACAACACTTTCACTGTAATTTTCTTTAATGTCCTTGTTGAAACGCGTTCTGACTTTTTTTTTGTTGTTGTATCTCTGGCATGCAGAATCTCTGACCTTGATCTTCCGTAACCGTCCTTGGGAGCAGACACCGTCAAAGCATTCACAAGACATTATTAGCATCTCGTGGGCTTAACGATTTCGGAGCTTCGAGTCCGGCGTTCTGGCTTCCGGTTATATGACCGCTTTTCTACCTTGCGACGAGGGTGGGCGTGCGCTGGGAAGTCTCCGCCTTCCATCTTCCAAGCCTCCAGCGTTTCGCCTGACCGACATTTCGCCACCAGCAGCAACTGGGAAGTCTCTTTCCCCTTGCTTCTTTCCCCTCGTCGTCCATTTTCCGTTCGTTTCGTCATTCTCGTTCCGCGCTTTATCACGCCTCCTCCATTTCGCGTTTTTCCACCGTCCCTCTGATACGCTTGGCTGCAGTTTAGTAGATGTTCCTCCGCGGGTTTGGGTACGGGTTGGGTAGCATAGTTCTCCTCCCTCTGCTAGCTGCAGCCGGCGTATCATGGACGTCCATCCCATCTCATCCATCCCATCCCATCCATCCCTTCGCCTTCGTTTCCGCTTTCGATTTCCTCGTTGTTTTCGTGTAGTTTTCGTGTCCGCTTTCGATTTCCTCGTTTTTGTTTCTTTTGCTTTCCAATCTGCTAGTTTCTGTTTACTAACTTCGTGCATCCGTCTGTGCGTTCCTTCCCCCTGTTTTTCAGCAATCATGGCGTCTTCACTCAAGATGGCTTATTCACTCAATCTGGCTTCGTCACTCAAGCTTCAAGAGAGCTTCAACACCGCAAGCTTCAACCATTTTGACCATTTCAACAGTAAGCAATGTTACTCCTTCAATAACCTTTCTTATTTTCAGCCAAGTCTCTTCCAATGAATAGTTCCGTTTTATGCTTTGCGTTTTATGTTTTACTCATCGCGTTCATGTGTTTTATGTGCAGACAAAGAGTGGCGGACCCTTGGAGCTCCAGACGCGGATCTCCCTTCGCGGCTGACGCGGATCTCCCTTCGCGGCTGACGCGGATCTCCCTTAGCGGCTGACGCGGATCTCCCTTAGCGGCGGACGCGGGAGCTCCTAGGAGCGGAGCTTCAACACTTTCTTCACGTGTAAACAGTGTTAGTCATTTTCAGCCATGTTCGTCATTTTCAGCCATGTTCGTCATTTTCAGCCATGTTAGTCATTTGCAATCCAACGTTTCGTTTTATGCCTTACGTGTTATAGTTTACTAATCGCATTAATGTTTTATGTGCAGACAAGGAGCTCGGAAAAAGACCCTTTTCGGATCAGCGCCTTGGGAACGGCGCACGCGGATCAACGCCTTGAGAACGGCGCACGCGGATCAACGCCTTGGGAACGGCGCACGCGGATCAGCGCTTGAATGTTCAAAGTAAGCTTCTCTCTCTCTCTTTGTTGCCGTTTTGCTGTTGCTTTATGCATACTTCAGATTTCATGCTCTCTGCTTATTCGTCGCTTGAGATATTCTTTCTGTGAGCTCCATAGCAAATTCTGATTTCGTGTATTTGCCTTGTGCAGGGAAGGCAGCTGACGCTGCTGGAGTTGAAGGGACGCTGCTGGAGATGAAGGGACGCTGCTGGACTTGAAGGGACGCTGCTGGAGTTGAAGTCTCTCCCCTGGAGTTGAAGTTTCTCCCCTGGAGTTGAAGTCACGCTGCTGGAGTTGAAGTCACGCTGCTGGAGTTGAAGTCATGCCGCTGGAGTTGAAGGGAAGCAGGCTCCTTCCATCCGCCACCCTCCTCAAGTACTCCAAGCGAAAAGTAAGTTATTTTCTCGCTTTTTCGCCGTTTGGCTGCTGTTTTATGCAAACTTCAGATTTCATGCTTGCTGTTTTTTTGTCGCTTGAGATATTTTCCTGTGAGCTCCATAGAAAGTTCTGATTTCGTGCATTTGCCTTGTGCAGGGAAGGCAGCTGACGCTGTTGGAGTTGAAGGGACGCTGCTGGAGTTGAAGGGACGCTGCTGGAGTTGAAGTCACACTGCTGGAGATGAAGGGACGCTGCTGGAGTTGAAGGGACGCTGCTGGAGTTGAAGTCACACTGCTGGAGATGAAGGGACGCTGCTGGAGTTGAAGTCCCGCTGCTGGAGTTGAAGTCATGCTGCTGGAGTTGAAGGGAAGCAGGCTTTTTCCATCCGCCACCCTCCTCAAGTACTCCAAGCGGAAAATTGAAGTAAGTTCTTTTCTCGCTTTGTCTCCGTTTGGCTGCTGCTTTATGCAAACTTCAGATTTCATGCTTGCTGTTTTCTTGTCGCTTGAGATATTTTTCAGTGAGCTCCTTAGCAAGTTCTGATTTCGTGCATTTGCCTTGTGCAGGGAAGGCAGCTGACGCTGCTGGAGTTGAAGGGACGCTGCTGGAGATGAAGGGACGCTGCTGGAGTTGAAGTCACGCTGCTGGAGTTGAAGGGACGCTGCTGCAGTTGAAGGGACGCTGCTGCAGTTGAAAAGACGCTGCTGCAGTTGAAGGGACGCTGCTGCAGTTGAAGGGACGCTGCTGCAGTTGAAGGAAAGCAGGCTCCTTCCATTTGCCACCCGCAAATACTACCAGCGAATGTTCAAAGTAAGCCTAATACTTTCTTTTTTTGTTGCCATTTGGCTGCTGCTTTTTGCACACTTCAGATTTCATGCTTGCTGTTTATTCGTCGCTTGAGATCTTCTTCGTGTCAGCTCCATAGCAAGTTCTGATTTCGTGTATTTGCCTTGTGCAGGGAAGGCAGCCGACGCTGATGGAGTTGAAGGGAAGCTGCTGGAGATGAAGGGACGCTGCTGGACTTGAAGGGACGCTGCTGGAGTTGAAGTCACGCTGCTGGAGTTGAAGTCATGCCGCTGGAGTTGAAGGGAAGCAGGCTCCTTCCATCCGCCACCCTCCTCAAGTACGCCAAGCGAAAAGTAAGTTCTTTTCTCGCTTTTTCGCCGTTTGGCTGCTGTTTTATGCAAACTTCAGATTTCATGCTTGCTGTTTTTTTTGTCGCTTGAGATATTTTCCTGTGAGCTCCATAGCAAGTTCTGATTTCGTGCATTTTGCCTTGTGCAGGGAAGGCAGCTGACGCTGCTGGAGTTGAAGGGACGCTGCTGGAGATGAAGGGACGCTGCTGGAGTTGAAGTCACGCTGCTGGAGATGAAGCTGCTGGAGTTGAAGTCACGCTGCTGGAGTTGAAGTCATGCCGCTGGAGTTGAAGGGAAGCAGGCTCCTTCCATCCGCCACCCTCCTCAAGTACTCCAAGCGGAAAATTGAAGTAAGTTCTTTTCTCGCTTTGTCGCCGTTTGGCTGCTGCTTTATGCAAACTTCAGATTTCGTGCTTGCTGTTTTCTTGTCGCTTGAGATATTTTTCAGTGAGCTCCTTAGCAAGTTCTGATTTCGTGCATTTTCCTTGTGCAGGGAAGGCAGCTGACGCTGCTGGAGTTGAAGGGACGCTGCTGGAGATGAAGGGACGCTGCTGGAGTTGAAGTCACGCTGCTGGAGTCCCCGCTGTTGAAGTTGAAGTTATGCCGCTGGAGTTGAAGGGAAGCAGGCTCCTTGCATCCGCCACCCTCCTCAAGTACTCCAAGCAAAAAATTGAAGTAAGTTCTTTTCTCGCTTTGCCGCCGTTTGGCTGCTGCTTTATGCAAACTTCACATTTCATGCTTGCCGTTTACTTGTCGCTTGAGATGTTCTTTCTGTGAGCTCCATAGCAAGTTATGATTTCGTGCATTTGCCTTGTGCAGGGAAGGCAGCCGACGGTGATGGAGTTGAAGGGAAGCTGCTGGAGTTGAAGGGACGCTGCTGGAGATGAAGGAACGCTGCTGGAGTTGAAGTCACGCTGCTGGAGTTGAAGTCATGCCGCTGGAGTTGAAGGGAAGCAGGCTCCTTCCATCCGCCACCCTCCTCAAGTACTCCAAGCGAAAAAATAAAGTAAGTTCTTTTCTCGCTTTCTCGTTTAGCTGCTGCTTTATGCAAACTTCAGATTTCATGCTTGCTGTTTACTTGTTCTTTGAGATATTCTTTCTGTGAGATCCATAGCAAGTTCTGGTTTCGTGCATTTGTCTTGTGCAGGGAAGGCAGCTGACGCTGCTGGAGTTGAAGGGACGCTGCTGGAGTTGAAGGGACGCTGCTGGAGTTGAAGGGACGCTGCTGAAATTGAAGGAAAGCAGGCTCCTTTCATCCGCCACCCGCAAATACTCTCAGTGAATGTTCAAAGTAAGCCTAATACTTTCTCTTTTTGTTGCCATTTTGTGTCAGCTCCATAGAAAGTTCTGATTTCGTGTATTTGCCTTGTGCAGGGAAGGCAGCCGATGTTGCTGAAGTTGACGTGATGCTGCTGCAGCTGAAGGGACGCTGCTGGAGTTGACGTGATGCTGCTGCAGCTGAAGGACCGCTGCTGGAGTTGACGTGATGCTGCTGCAGCTGAAGGGACGCTGCTGTTGTTGACGTGATGCTGCTGCAGCTGAAGGGACGCTGCTGGAGTTGACGTGATGCTGCTGCAGCTGAAGGGACGCTGCTGGAGTTGACGTGATGCTGCTGCAGCTGAAGGGACGCTGCTGGAGTTGACGTGATGCTGCTGCAGCTGAAGGGACGCTGCTGGAGTTGACGTGATGCTGCTGCAGCTGGAGTGACGCTGCTGGGAGGAGCTGCTGGGAGGAGCTGCTGGGAGGAGCCACCCTCCACCTGCCACCTACAAACGCCATACTCCACCTGCCATCTACAAACGCCACCCTCATTGTGCTCCAATCTGACCTTCCAATCCAAGTAAGTTTCTCCTTGTTGTCTCGTTCTTTCACCATTTAAAACTTCGTTTCATATTTCAAATGTTTCTGCAATGCTTTGTTCAAGGAACCCCGTGGCAGATTCTGACTTTGTTTTCTTGGCTTGTGCAGGGAAGGCGCCTACCGTTGTTGCTGGAGCTGAAGTCCCGTGACGCCGCTGCTGCAATTTAAGTGAAGATGGGTCCGAAGCTGTTGGTGCTGAATGGGAGGAGCTGCTGGGAGGATCTGCACTGCACGACGCTTCAACTTTGAAGCTGCAACTCACAAAGTAAGGCGTCTCTTTGCAAGCTCTCTACTTGCTCCTTCTCACTTGATGCAACTTTTGCTTTTCCAGCTATGTCTTTGTCACTATACTGACTTGGTGTGTTTTTCATGTGCAGCAAAACAAGGAGCTGCTGGGAGGAGATGTTGGTAGGAGCTGCTGTGAGAATCTGCACTGCACAACGCTGCAACTTTCAAGCTGCAACCGACAAAGTAAGTTCTCTTTTTGCAAGCTGTCTCCTTACTTTGTTTCGCACTTGATTCAACTTTCGTTTTTTCCCAGCCATGTAGATTTCACTATACTGACTCGATTTGTGCAGAAAACAAGTAGCTGCTGGGAGGATCTGCACTGCACGACGCTTCAACTTTCAAGCTGGGACCCGCAAAGTAAGTTGCCTGTTGCATCTCCTTGCAAGCTGTCTCCTTTTTCTGTTTTGCACTTGATTCAACTTTCGCTCTTCCCAGCCATGTATATTTCAGTATACTGATTCATTTTTTTTGTCCTGTGCAGAAACCAACGATTCCGCCGCGCAATGGGGGCTGCCTGGGTGCCTCGACCAGGAGGGGGCTGAGCTGTGGCTGAGACGTGGCCAAGGCTTGATGGGGCCTTGGAGTGGCAAGCATGAGACAGACATGCAGCTGCGCTTTCCCACACTGGGGAGGGTGTGGGGGGCAGAGTTCGGATACCAATTCCAGTGGTGCTGTGATGCGCAACCGGGCCGGGACGACTTTGGAGCCCTGACGGTGTGCAGTCGGCCGGCCGGCTTCTGCACATTGGAGGGAGGTTCAGGCCTTCAAAGTCGTTCTGGGCACCCGGATGGCCAGGTAGCTTCACTGCTGGAATCGGTTACGGGCTCTTCAAGTCAGTACCACACCGGGGTGGGTGTGGAGGGCTTGAGCGCTAAAGAGGCCAGTACCACACTGGGGTGGGTGTGGAGGGTCCTCAGCCACTTAAGAGAGAGAGAGAGTAGTCCACACCGGGGTGGGTGTGGAGAAATCTCCTCTTTCCACTTAAGAGCTTTCTCACACTGGGGTGGGTGTGGGGGGTTCGCTCTCAGTCACTTGAAGGCTTTCTCACACCGGGGTGGGTGTGGGGGGCTCTCGGTCTCCTAGGCTAGTCCACACCCAGGTGGGTGTGGCTAGACCTCAGCATCAAAGGGAAAAAGTCCACACTGGCGTGGGTGTGGCTAGGGCAAGCTAGTTTCAGCACTGCTGGAACTGGTTTGCTCTACAAAGGGGAAGACCACACTGGGGTAGGTGTGGCTAGAGCAAGCGCAATGTTGCTCTACGTCGGGGGATTTTTAGCCGAGTTACACGGCAGTACCCGAGTTTAACGCCTCCGGGTCTCATCCCGTAAGCATCGCGCCCGGAGATGCTGATGGGAAGGATTTTTGTCCCTGGCTTGGTGGAGCCTAAAAAAAAAAAAAAAACTAACAGACGGGTGCTTTTCCATGGTGGGGTGGCCATGGAGGGCTGGATGGTGGTTGGATGGTGGCTGGATGGTGGTGAAGGGGAGAAGTTAAGGGGAGGAAGATGGTGGTGAAAGGGATGGTGGCTGGCTGGAGAAGTCAAGGGGATGATGGCTGGATGGAGAAATGAAGTTGGTGAAAGATGGTGGCTGATTGGAGACTCGAAAGGGATGATGGTTGGTAAAGGATGGATGGCTAGAATGTGAAGAGAAGGGGATGCTGGCTGGAGTTGGAAGTGGCTGGACTTGCAGTAAAGTAGGGGTTGATGGCTGGAATTGCTGTAAAGAAGTTCTAGGGGTTTATGGCTGGAATTGCAGTTAAGTTGTTCTAGGGGTTGATGGCTGGAATTGCAATAAAGTTCTTCTAGGGGTTGATGCCTGGAGTTTCTGCGATGAATTTCTTCTAAGTGTTGATGGCTGAACATGCAGTAAAAAAATTCTAGGGAGTGCAGTGAACTTGTTCTAGGTGCCACACATGCAATTAAGTATCACCCTGGAGTGAAGTTGTTCTAGGGGTATCAGACTGCAGTGAACTTGTTCTAGGGGTACCACACTGCAGTGAACTTGTTCTAGGGGTACCACACTGCAGTGAACTTGTTCTAGGGGTACCACACTGCAGTGAACTTGTTCTAGGGGTACCACACTGGACTGGACTGGAGTGAACTTGTTCTAGGGGTACCACACTGCAGTGAACTTGTTCTAGGGGTACCACACTGCAGTGAACTTGTTCTAGGGGTACCACACTGCAGTGAACTTGTTCTAGGGGTACCACACTGCAGTGAACTTGTTCTAGGGGTACCACACTGGACTGGAGTGAACTTGTTCTAGGGGTACCACACTGCAGTGAACTTGTTCTAGGGGTATCAGACTGCAGTGAACTTGTTCTAGGAGTACCATCAGGCCCTCAGATTCGTTTTAGGCCTGTCTGATTCATCAGACTAGTACACAATTTTAGTCTGAAAATCTCAGACTTGGTATAAAAAAAAGGCTGAAATGTCAGAGTGTCATAAAACAAAAGTCTGATCATTCAAAATATTATAATTTTTAAACACATTGATGTTTTCAAAATTGTGTATTGTGAAAGCGAAGCTGCCTGTACCGAATATTTGGCAGCGTCGAAGCGCGCTAAACGCCCTTCTCCAACTACAAAAACCGTGGGTTGGAGTTCATTCCCTCCACCCACGTTTCTCGTTTTTCAACGGCTCAATCAACATTTCCGTTCGAGTAGTTCTTTTCCCCGTCCAAGCTGGCTAGAACTCGCACCCTCCCCAGAGGCGAGTCACCCTCAACACTTCTGCAAGACATTTTCAACCACAACCGCTCTACAATGGCGTCTACGCCGGCACTTAACCGCGGCAATTCGTCTGCGCCGAGTTCCGACACCGACCGTAACGCCCGAGAAATGACGGGCGATCGCCGTAACAAGCGCCGGGCAGAGGAAGGATCGCCCGCCCCAACCGCCGTGGACGTGCTGTTGGGCGGGCTCGAGGTCAACAAAAACTCGAGCCCGCCCCAGCAGCAGCACCCCTCGGCCCCTGTGGCGCCTGTGGCGCCTGAGGCGCGTGTGGCGCAAGTGGCGACGGCGGCACCTGCAGCACCTGTGGCGCCACACGCGCCTGACGCGGAGCACACGCCGGCGCCTGTGGCTGGACCGTCGCGTCAGCGCCAGAGGCGCCGAACAGCGACTTCTTCTGACGCGACGACCCCGGCGTTGACCAACGCGTTGACTCCGGACCAGGTCGCCGCGCTTCTGTCCCTGTTACAGCAACACCCGGCCAGCGTTACAGCTACGGAAATTGCACAACCCGCGGCCTCTGCATCTGCTAAAAAGGAAAACGCAAAAAGAGAAAAAGGAGCGCGAGGAACAACGGCGAACCGGCACGACAAGGAAGCACCGGCCAGCATCCCACCTGCGCCAGTGGCCGACAACGACACCGACGGCTCCGACGACGATGATGGTGAGGCTCCGGTCCATACCAAAAATTTTAATTCCATGGAGCATCTTCCCCCCCTCCCCTCTACTACTAACACCACTTGGTCGGCGGCGACGTTCAACGACGCGCACGTGCGGGCGAAAGCGGAAATTCTGGAGGACATGCGGGCCTACCTGAAACACGCAGAATACAAGCTGCAGCACGGCGACTTGGCGGGCGGACTCGAAATGGTCGTCGCCGCCCTCGACGACATTTCCGCGCGCTTCGAAATGTTTCAAGTCGAAGACGCCTCCGACGACCGCGTTGCCAAGCGCTACAAAATGTACCTGCAGAAAAGCCTTCTCACTTCACGCCCGTTCAAGCAAGCCGTCGCGGACGTGGCTGCCATGGACCGAGCGGCGGGCGCTCACGCTCGCTCCCACCGCGGTGGAACCCATGGCGCCATGGCGTTCGCCCCAAAACGGGGCCCTCCAACCTCGGGCAATTTCCAAGGCTTTCGTGGTTCGTGTTTCCGCTGCGGCCAGCCAGGCCACGTTGCCAATGCCTGCCCTCGGAATGGGCACGGGGGCCAAGGACCCGCACCGGTTGTGTAGGGTTCGGGCTATGGCGAAGTGCGCCACTCGGCGCGATGCACGGTGCACTCTTGAGTGCTTAGACCGTGGGCAGCCTAGTAGGGCTTGCGGTGGCCATGGGCCAGCCCTAGGATAGGGTGGTAGAATTTGGCCATAGGCCTAGCTTTGGGGAAGAGGAAGAATGCCTCTCGGTCCCCTAGGATAGGGTAATAAAGTATGGCCGTAGGCCTAGCCTTGGGGAGGAGGAAGAATGCCTCTCGGTCCCCCGGATGCCCCAATTGATGGGATGAGAAGCATGCTAGTAGGCATGACAATGCATGACCATGCGAGATATGGATTTTATTAAAGGCCCCCCTCTGGTTGCGAAGGATCACAAAAAAAAAAAAAAAAACAAAGGGAGAACGCGAGGAGGAGAAGGGGGAGGGGGAAAACGGGCACATTCCTCCCTCAAACCGCCACCATGCATGGCAGGGATGGGCAGCCCTGGTTCAATCTTTGGAAGACCAAAAGGGAGAGAAGGAGCAAGAAGTACAAAAAAAAAAAAAAAAAAAAAAAAAAAAAAAAGGGGGGCATAGCAATGTCCCTAGCCCAAGCGAGGGCTCGCGCGGAAAGACACGAGCCCATGGCAAGCGAAGCATGCAAATGCTCAAACAATGATGGAAACACGCACAAAAAGAGAGGGAGAGAGAGAGAGAGAGAGTGTGTATGTGTGTGTGTGTGTGAGAGAGAGAGAGAGAGAGAGAGAGAGACAGAGAGAGAGAGAGAGAGAGAGAGAGAGAGAGAGAGAGAGAGAGAGAGAGAGAGAGAGAGAGAGAGAGAGAGAGAGAGAGAGAGAAGAGAGAGAGGAAGAGTGAAGCATGATCGCGGTCCCAAGCATCAATCCTAGAGCAAGGTTAAAAAAAAAAAAAAAAAAAGAGCATGGGAAAGAGTTTGCCAAGGTGCGATCGGACGCCCAATATGGAATGATGACAAACCGTTCGTATGGTTCTCACTGCTGACGGTTCATCTTTCGCGCATGCATGTATATGTCACACGCATTCACTAATTAAGGCGTGTAACTTGATTGGTCCCGTTCAATTCCTTGCCGTACAAACAGGAGCACAACAATACGAGGTGCCTCGCGACGAAGACCCGTACGAATTCGCCGTCACGGACAAAACCGTCACACGGATGTGCGGTCGGCTTCGCTCGACCTTTGCGTGGTGGAGCTCATGGTGCCCTTGCAGCCTTGTTCTATCCATAATCGCCAACGGTTACTGGCTTCCATGGAGCCACGGCCCACCACCGGCCTTCCGGGAGCGGAACCACGCCGGTGCATACGCGCATGCTACGTTCACACGTACTGCCATCCAAGAACTCACAGAGACCGGGGCTGCAGTCGAGACAGCCGCAAGCGAGCTTACGTGCATAAGCCCACTTAACGTGGTCGAGCAGAGAGAAAAATGTAGGCTCATCCTTGACCTGAGAAAAGTCAACGCAAACCTCATCGTTCCAAAATTCAAGTACGAAGGACTCAGCCGCGTGGCAGACGTCGCACGAGCTGGGGATTGGATGTTTTCTATCGATCTCAAATCCGGGTACCATCACATCGACATCCATCCCTCGTGCTGGAAGTTTCTCGGTTTCGGATTCGATGGGCGCACTTACTCCTTTCGTTCATTGCCGTTCGGTCTTGCGACAGCCCCATTCGTCTTCACGCAACTCATCAAGCAGCTAGCCCGTCGCTGGCGAGAGCAAGGCATTCGAGTAGTACCATACGTGGACGACATCTTATTCCTTTGCCAGTCAAAAGCCCACGCGCAGGCCACGTGCCACCGTGTGATACTGGACCTTAAAGCAGCGGGTTTGGTGATAAATGCAAAGAAATCACAACTGTCACCATCGCAACACCTTCGATTCTTGGGTGTGGAGCTAGACACGGTCACCGGCCGATTTACCATCGGTCCCGAACGACGAGCCTCACTTCATGCAACCATTCGGAACCTGTTGAGCGCAAGCAAGGCCTGTCGACCCGTCTCAGTTCGCCAAGTGGCCAGAATCACAGGCATGCTCGCGTCAATGGGCGTCGCGCTGGGTGCAACAGCTCGTGCCTTCAGCCACGCCATGCTACAAGTGATCAATGACGCACCTTCATGGAAA